TGTGTGGGTGTGTGTGTGCGCCCATTAAAGCTCCAACCGAAATGAGTGCCATTGGAACATTGTGCACCACCTTAATGATGTCATCAATCATTCCCGGCGTACATTGGTCAATCTATCTGCTACTGTAGGCGGTTTGTTAAAAGAGCCGGATTGACCATCCTGCAGAAAGTTCTGATCTTTAATATAGCTTTTTTTTTTTTTCTGGTTTCTAAGGCTTGACTTGCTTTTTAGGAACAAGTCAAGCTTCTATGTATTTATTTATTCAAGGGAATCTATAGTTTTTAGATCTTTTGTAATAGTAGATGGAGGATATATACTGCTTCACTAGTGTGTGTACAGTAAATACACTCGGTGAGAAAATAAAAGATAATTGTGCAAAATTATGATTGCAATTGCTTAATATTATAAACTCTAGGGTATAAAAATGAAAACAAACAAAATAAATACCAATGGTAGCATTTTCAAGGGGACATGCTGCTGCAGTATCGTGCCATCTTAAGCTCTTTCCATGCAGTGTAAGCATTGGGAAACTCATCCATATGATTAGATTTTATTTTCTATTTGATTCATTTCCCCTCCAGTCATCTTTATCGTCTGGCTGGGGTACAGGGTCAGGGAGACAACCTGGAGCAGGTAAGGGTTAACCGTCCTTGGTATGCTTCAGTAACTATCAATGTATGGATGATTGAAGCTGAGCCTTTACTGCAGGGACGATTCAATAACCAACAAAGGCCGTCCTGCTGAGGAGGCAGCAGAGTCACACTACAGCTAGACTTTTGAGTGGAAAGTAGTTCAGACTGTAAGACACACTTATGAGTCAAAGTATTGAAGTTGGGTACTAAATTTTTAAAAACACTCTCATGGCAATATTTTAGTGCTTTATGGGCAACTGATGCTTTGAAACTACAAAGCAAAACTTTGGAGAAAACAGCTTGTAGCATTTAAGCTACAGTACAGGGGGCCTTGGCACAACGGTTCCTGCCTGAAACCTAATTTAATTTTGGTTCACTTCCCAAATGTTTGTGCTAAAATACTGGTTTGTGAGAGTTCAGTCAAGTAACAAAGACAAAGAAGGAAGGTCCTGGGGGGGATCATGTAGAAAATAATGTCATTTTGCTCTCACATACAAACACGGGCTCATTCCACATGCAGCTTCTGCTTAAAGTTTTCACTCCTTCTCACTATGGATTTCAACTTTTAACATCTAATAGGCCTTGTCAGTGTCTTTAATTTGATTTGAAATGTGTCAACTCTTTGAACATGCTCTTTTAACTTCGTACCCTTCAAACTGTGCATACGTAAAAAAAAAAAAAAAAAAAAAAAAAAGAGAAGATAGAGAATAGAAGAAAACAAAAACAGTTGTAGGCAAGGTGGAGCAGTTGGTAAAGCTGCCACCTCTCAGCGAGAAAGTTGCCGGCTCAAATCCTGGCCGGGGTCTGTTCTTGATGGAGTTTGCATGTTATATCCGTGCATGTGTGGGTTTTCTCCAGATACAGTAGTCCCTCAGTTATCGCGGAGCTTACGTTCTAGACACCACCGCGACAGGTGAAAAACCACAAAGTAGGAACGCTATATTTTATTTTAGCTTTATAAACCTTTCCCACACACTTGCAATGTTCTAAACTTTTAAACCTACATAATTTTAACAACAATGTATATGTACTGTACAATACTGCAAAAAAACAGCAGCCGAGTGACAGTTTGGCTCAGTTCCAGTTCGGAATACCTACCCTGCCGCGATGAAGCCCACTGCCTCGTCCAGGTTGATGTGCACGTAGATAATTTAGCTTCAGGAAGCTTCAGGATTATTTGCCATCTCTCTGCCAGTTCTGTGAACTTAATAGATGGTTACTTCTGACTTTGCACTGTAAAACTTTCCCTCCATTTCGGCAGAAAGCAGTGGCTGGAAGCACTGTTGGCTTCTGGGTAATGTAGTTCTTTTTTACGTGCGTTACAGTGCAGGCTTATTGACAGAAAACTACAAAATGGCAGCGCCTGTCCAAAGTATTTTTTTCATTAACTTTTTGTCCCATACCATCCCAATCATGTGAGTAACATTAAAGTAGACAATGGTGTGTCGTGTACAATCTTACGTTGAAAAACTGCGAAAGAGTGAGTCCGCAAAAGTCTAACCGTGAAGTAGCGATGGACTACAGTACTCTGTTTTTTCCCAACAGACCGAAAACATGCAAGTTAGACTGATTGGTAACTCTAAATTATCCCCAGGTGTGCGTGAGAGAGTGAACGGTTGTTTGTCTTGTTTGTCTGTCCCTGTGGTGAGCTTGCGACACGTCCAGGATGTACCCCACCTCTCACACAGTGACCGCTGGATCTGGGCACCAGTGACCCCCATGATCCAGAAAGGAAGAAGTAGGTAAAACATGATGGATGGATGGATGGAGACTGTTCCATTTGCAATTTCATATTGCTGTTTTACGAAAGTTGGTCATGTCTCTGAGATACAAGTGTCCTTTTAAATTCATGAACTTTAAGGAAAAAGTTACACAGCAGGTAAAAGCTGCCTCTACTGCCTTTTTGTATGAGTCACAGTGTCTCTGAAAATATAGCACTCCATCCTGATTTGGCTTCTGTCTGAGAATATTTCCCTTGTGTATGTACCATGGAGCCCCAGTTCAGTTTCAGTTCCATCATAGATATGTATTTGCTTCAACTCAATGTTTAATTCAGGCTCAAAAACAACAGAAACATACATATAAAATACTCAACAGGTGAATGGATGAGCCATCTGTCAACATCTACTACCAACGGAAGGAGTTGGTTAATCAAACACTTGCTGAAGCCAGTCAGGTGAGCAGTAAAAACATCTGTTCTGTTGAGAAATTTCTCTGCAGCCATTCCTTGTGCCCATTTAAATATAGAATAAAACAACTTTCAGCTCTCAGCAAAACTGATTATTATGTAGGATCACACAAACTTTTTGACTAATCTAAAACCCTGATGTAGATGCTGCTTCAGAGCACCAACTGATGTGAACAAACATGTCTTCGCTCCAATCATAGAGCTCAAGGATTACAAATCTGCCATTCCCAGTGCACCGAGTTGCCTCGAAATGTAACCGAACATAAATATGTTTTTATTTTATTTTATGAATTCAGGTTTTGAATGGAAACAATCTACAAATCAACCAGCTTGTTTCCCTCGTGGTTAAGTTATAGTGATAAAAGTAATTTGGTTTCGTCTTATACACCTTGGTTAGAAAAACAGTCATAAGTTACAAAAACAAAAGACAAATCAAACGACTTTCAGCTGCATCATGAAAGATTGATGACATTTTATTATAAATTATGGATTGTTAGCCTCTTTGGTAATTCTAGTGATGACTCTCTCTGCAATATTGCTGTAGCAACATGGTGCCCGTTTTTGCTGTTGGCACAGTGATGTGCTGGCCATTTGTTCAGGACACGCTGATTGAGCTGTCAAAGCACACGCATACTTACAAAGGCACACACACTTACGGAGACATGTGGATAAATCATTTTCCCCGTGCAGCTCAGGCATGCACGCACACTTTATCTCTGCATATCTCCGAGTGTATAAATCGCAATGAGCCGAGCACGAGGGAAGGTCAACTGAAGATGCATCAAGAATTAGAAGAATGAGAATCAGCTGGGCACTGTCAGGGGGAATTCAGGCAGAGATCCGGTGGAGAGAGAGACAGGCAAACACGGTAACTGAGACAAGCGCGGTATAAGGTTGTCTCTGAGGGGTCTTGTACTTGTTCTGACACTCTGTTACAGCACCTCACGGATACACTCCATTACACTCCGAAAGAAGAAACATGCTCACAAACATGCTGTGGTACGCTCCTTTTATTCGTCCCTTTCCTTTGCCCTGACCACTAAGCCTAAGTGGTAGCCTTGAAAGTGATTATGTGAGTGGGAGTGCTTGGAAAAATGCCTTTACTGCAGAGTCTACGTGACTGACCAGTATCTAGTCCCATTAGTTTTTATTATTTAGGCATATTGTCTTGGATTATTTGTAGCATTTCAGTACAAGCGCACATCGAATATGCATTTATTTTGTAAATACTGCTCATCCTCTTATTTCTTGTCTGTTGACTGTATGTATTCTTATGACCTGCCACTGAACAAACTCATTAGGAAGCAAACTCTGCTTCAAACCAACCAGAAAATTACCTCCCCAGTTGAACAGGACGACCCAAGGACAGACGAGCAGCTTCTCTGTCACATCCAGTCAGAGCACAAAACCAAATGAAGGCTTAGTTGGTTTATTCAGCACCTAGCATGTGTCACATTCAACACCCCACTGAACGCAACGTTAGCACGACTGCGAGTTTGCATGACTTTCCAGCATAAACGTTGATGTATTTACTATAATTTGATGAAGACTTTAAGAAAATCTCAGTAGTATACAGCCGCATTTCATTTTTGCATGACACATCAACCAAATGTGCCATGTTGCCCCTTGATGTCTTTTAAATGGATTGCATCTTTTAAGATACAACTTAATTTGAATCTAAATGATACTTTAGATGTTTGACGTAAATGGCTGGTAAATGTTTTATCAGTGAGTGGCACAACTCTTGTTAATCCCGTGGTATTTCACACCCAGTAGCTTCCAATTAAATAATGTTATCCAGGGAGATGTCGCTGACAGTATTGATACCATCTATGTGACCTTCTGTTCCTCGTTCTCTTCCTCACCATCTTCTCTTCCTGTACACCTACACGGTTTCTTTCTACCTCTCAGTTGTATTGGTGTCACTTTTAATTGTTCTTCGCAAAACTTCTACAGTGACCCACAAACGCCATAAAATGTGCGTCTGTGTTTATTACCAGAGTCTCTGTCTGAGCATCACCTAAATGGTTTAATTATAAAGATAATTGTCACTGCATTATTGTGCCGAGACTCAACAGGGTGCTATTGGGTTTGCTAATAACCCTTCTAAATCTGCAGTTGCCTTCACTAACAATGCCATTATGTCTTCTTTTGTTTGCTTGTTTGTTTTCTGTTTACAGTGAAGACTTGTGGCAGTAATCTTCAGGGGCCGTCTGGAACCTTTACGTCTCCTAACTTCCCGATTCAGTATGACAGCAATGCACAGTGTGTGTGGATAATTACAGCATCAAATCCCAACAAGGTACGTCTTCTCTCAGTCATTTATGCAGTCTGTTAAACAAACTTACACTGAAGTTATATTTTTTATAAAAAAAATGAAAAAAAACATTAGCATTCACTTTATTAAAACTAAGCATAATTTGACTATTTGAAATGTTTATTGTATTGCAGAAAAGTTAGTTTTAAATTGGATACTTCTGTGGGTTAATTTAGAGATAAAGCAGACTTCTTGGTTGTTTTTCTTTGACTTCTTCAATGTAAAGAATTTAAGTCAGTTGGCACAATTGGAAAGTATTATATGGGAGTGAAATAAAAAAAAATATATATATTAAGATGGAACCATACCTTTTTATGCAGGCTGTGGGTAAAGATAATAACTGCCACCAAAAGGAGAAAGTTCATGCCTACAGGTTAAGTGGAGTGGAAGTGAGGCTTCTGAAATATTAAACCAGGAAGAGCAGCATAGACTGATCAAGAGAGGGGCATGCATGACAGCTTAGATTCTACAAAAGTGTTGTGTACAAAGTGGATTTAAGTGACTTGAATGGGTTTGGTAAATATTTTAATTGAATAAAAAACAATTTAAAATTAAGAATACAAGAAAATTAATTGTTCCTACTAAGGAGTGTGGGATGGGTTGGAAATGTGATGGATATTTACCACCGGTCGCTCTGTGACCCATGAGGAATCTATCTGATTGGTATTCAGAAGCACATCCTTGTTCAACTCCAGGTCTCTGTGGTGACAGCACTGTTGTCAAGGGCAACACCTGCATCAGCATGATAGAGCTGTTCTTGCACATCGGCACAAACACAGAACACTTTTTTAAAAATATACGCGTGTTAAGAGACAACCTTTTACTGCCACTCTCACAACATGCACGTTTAGTGACTTTGCTTTTTCCAAAAAAAACAAAAAACAAAAGCTTCACTCATTTCTGTCCTAAACTCCCACACACAGAGTTCTCTGTCACTGCCCAAGGCCTCTGGTTTATGGCCTACAGCAATACATTCTCTGTTGAAGGCTACACTGTGTGTGAGACTGCTGAAGGTTACGTTACTAATGCACTCTTTGCACTGTGTGTTGATGTGCATGCGCTGTATGTCTATGTGCAAAAAAAAACCTTTGAAGATTTATGTTTATGTGTTTCGAACGATAATGGATATTGTTCAATACATTGACCTTAATGAAGCTCAGATAATCTCAGGCTGTATCAAGACATGTTATAGGCCTTTACTAGTGCTGCCTTATCGTAAACTGCTTTCTCACATACTTCATCAGGTCCGTGTCATACACAGCACTGAATCTTATGTCTATCCTTTATCACATGTCATATATACAGGCTGTCATGCACTGTACTGAATCATGCCATTTACCACCCTACACTACCTTGTGTAGCGCACACCTTGGATGGCATTCCATCAAAACAGAGGTCATCAGGGGTCTATAAATCTGTACAGCATCACACGGCAAATAGATCGACATCCATTTAGATCCAATGCAAAGGGTGGGGGCAGCGGTTAGAGCTCTCGTCTTGCAGCAAGAAGGTTGCAGACTCAAAACCTAGCTGTCTTTTCTGTGTGAGATTTGTCTGAAATGTTCTTTCAGTGCATGCAAGGGTTTTATCACTGTACTCCAGTTTTCTCCTACAAACCAAAAGTATGCATGCTAGGTTAACGGGTGTGTCTGAATTGTCAGTAGATTAGAGTGAAAGTGTGAATAGTTGTCTTTTGCCCCTTTTTCCATTAGTACCGGCATAGCACAACTCAGCACGGTTCCAAGGCTTTTCCATTAGTAACGGTACATAGAACTGGTCCTTTTTTTCAGAACCCTAGGCTCTGTGGTTCCAAATGGACCAAGCAGGTACCAAAACGTGATGTCGGAACACTGTCGGTCACTGATTGGTCGGGGCGGAGTCACTGGATCTTTCAGAAACTTGTCAAAACACCAATCGGCCATTTGCAATTTCTCAGAACTCAGAGCAGTGGCTGGACCTATTTTAAAGATTTTTAAAACAATAATGACAACACCGTGGTCTAATACGGACTTGGGGCTCGGGATGTTGGCCTTGCATGCTCTGCGGGCTCTGAGCTCCTGGTCACCACGGAGGATCATACGAGCAGTTGATTCTCAGAAGGCCGTTGCCCGGACCCCAGCCTTGTGTGCTCATGATGACCAAACCCCGATCCCGGCAGACGGGTCTGGCACATGGAGGGTAGAAACAATTTTTAAAAACATTTTACGTTTTTTTTTTTTTTTTTTTTTACAGTGAAGATAAAAAAAAAATAAACAGTGCTGGCTTTATCATGCAATCATGTTGTCTTTTTAATGACTATTAAATAATCTGTTAAAGTTAACTCAGCTGAAAAATCATAAAAAGACACAAAATTGTTGGATCTTTCAGGAATATTTCCCTCAAATATGTTTAAAGAAGAGATGCAGCCTTAAGGCCATCTTATTCTAACCCACGCATGTACAAATCACAAAACAAGAATTAAACTTTAAAGCAACTAAAAACAATTAAAATATATATATATATATATATATATATTTACCCCGCGCACAGTGATTGCTGGACATGGGCACCAGCGATCCCCGTGACCCAAAATGGAATAAACGGGTAAAGATAATGGATGAATGGATATATATATTTAAACAAGAAACAAAACCACATATCTAAACTGAACAATAAAAGTAGACACAAGGAGTGCAAATATGTCAAATGATGAAGAAAACATAAAAAAAACAATAAATATAGATGCATTTGTAGAATCTGCTTCATCAGAGATTTAATGGTGAACTAAAGTTCATT